ATAGTATATACATCTATAAAATTATAAAAAGTTTATTACTTCATCGATTTTTTTTCATATAGCTTTACATTTAAATGTAAGAAAACTTTGCTATTATATAGACATTTCTCTTCTTCAGCAGAGTTTAAACCTGGGTAGGCCTTTGAAGTATGTTGTACCAAACATTAGTATTTGTGTTTTTTTAGAAAAAAAATTTATTATTAATTATTATGGGTAAATGGATTCAAAAATGTAGTTAGATAGAATGAACAACATTTAGTAGCACAATAAAGTGACTAAAGTATTTGAGTTTCTTTTTAAGCAGTTCTACCTATTTGCAGAGATTGGTAATTATTTATTTAGTTTTTGTTTTTAGAGGTATGCCAAAGAATTAAAAAACATTTTAAATTAACAAAACCTAATTCTATCTGCAATTACCATATGGGCACATGGACATGTTTATAAATCTAGGATATATTATAAAAACTTAGTGATATGATTATTTTTAAGCTTTGAACATTGTCAAGATATTTGTCTTACACATTGTCATATTTCAACATCCAAGGAATTTCATTGTTGCTCATAATTTTTTTCAAATATGTTTTTAAAGACTTATATAATTTGAAAACTTGTTTAATAAATAGATAAGAAGAATAATACAATGTTAAAATAAATCTTCACCATTGCATCATTCTTCTTTCTTTAAAACTGTATTGCTCAAAGTATCATATCAACTTAGAGAAATGTATAAAACAGGACTGCATACCATCTTTTTAGTCTAATTTTAAGTTTCATTGAATACAGTTGAAAATTCAGAATTTTTTCATTTACATCTATAATGACAGAAAAACAAATTGACTATGGAAGACATTTCACAATTTTTAAATTAATCTGAAGATGAATACCAAAAGCAGAAACCAACACTGTAGACTCAAGATGCTGGTAAAGTTGATCATGTAAGCAAAATTTTAGACTATGAGACTTTAGATGAAAATATACCAGATGAATGTTCTCAAATCAAGAATGAATGAATGAATAATATAATTCTATGAATAAAGAGAAAATACAGTAATCATCTTGTAAGTCATTCAACAGGAAGAGCTTCATCAACCCATATTTTGTGACAAAAATTTGGACCATTCTGTTTTGTTAAACATAAATGTGACTATATTTTTTCATCTTTTATGAGAGTTTTACATCAAAATTTACTTGATATATCTTGCAAATTAAACATTGCTGGAGGCAGCATGTATCCAAATGCGAATGGAAAGGAAAAGATACAGCGGAATTTTTCCCTTTGAAATAGAATCATCAGGAAAGATATTGTCCTTCCCTCCTAGTCTCTGTGGGAGAGTAGAAGCCTAACATTGATGATGAGCTCCATTCAACAAACACAGACAGCCTAATCATATTGGACCAACTTTCCCATTAATGTGTCCTCCAGGACTTTTTCATTAACTTACTCTAGGCTGGAAACTCTCCAACTTTTTTTTTGTTTTTTAATAGAGGTGAGTTTGTCTCTCTTCCTTGTTGCACTATTCTTGACTCTTATTGCAATAGTCTTGGAATGTCTTCCTTGCCATTGTTTACGTGTCCAGTGCAATATATCTTTCATACACATTAATAAGTTGTTTTGCACTGTCACTTTATTCATATATCTATGAATTACTTGAAAAATGGTATCTATTTTTAAGAGTAAATTTGATCAGATGGCAAACTGTAAGAACCATGATTTTCTGGAATAGTGAAAGTTACGGCTATTCACACTTCCTCCTTCAAACACTCTCTCTTCTGTGCATGTCCCAGTTGAAAATTTTCTTGTTTCCTCTCTATGCCACTGGTCACACCTCCTCAGTCTCCTTTGCTGTCTTTTCTTCCTTTACCCAATTCATAAATATTGATACTCCTAAAGGCTCCATACTATGTCTTTCATATTCTCACTTTATATTTTCTTCCATGATGATATATCCTTTGTTATCTATAGATATTTTACTAAGTCTAAAATCTCTATTCTTAAATTCAGTGGAAACTTTCCTGCTTTTACCTGAATTATAAGCAGCATACTAGGAAGTAGTAACTCCCTACTCCATGGGACACTTTCTTTACTTGGTTTCTAGATTACCACATTCCTCTGGATTATTTTTTATAATATTTTTCTAGTGTTTCCCATTCCTTGGGAATACTTATATTGGAATATCCAGGTCTCGGTCTTTAAACTTATTTTTCTCTATCCACACTCCCTCCTCAGGGGATCTCATCACACCACATGGTTTTAAATATCACATATAAGACTGAAAAATTCAAATTTATATGTTCACCATGAACTTCTCCCCTAAATTCTATGTTGGTATCCAGCAGTCTATATGACATGTTCATTTTGATGGCTACTAGGCAATGGACATCTCAAACTTACTTTGAATTTATTCCTGACTCAGTTTTTTTCCTTCTACCTTAAATCCTCTCTCTCAGAAAATTCTTACCCTTAAAATATATCCAGAATCTGATTACTTCTACCACCTTCTTGACTAGTTCCATGCTATAAGATACTATTGTCTCTTGACTCCATTATGGCAATAATTGTCTTCCCTGCTTCCAAATTGGCTCCTCTGCAGCTTCTCACTTAAACACATGTCCAGAAAAATCATATTAAACACTCAGGTACTCTATGCCACCTTCTTTTAGTGAGCATGGTTTTCCTACTCATCCAAAAAAAAAGGCATAGTCATCAAACTGCTTTCAAACCCACCATGGTCTGGCCACTGTCACTTCTCTGGACTCCTCCATGGGGCTTTCCTCCCTCCTGGCCCTGTTCCAGCCACATGGGTGCACGCCCTACTCGGAATGGCTGTCCACACTCATGTATCAGGGAATGTTCACATGCTTTATCTTCCTCCAGAGTTACCCCTTACTTCAACAGCCTCACCCCTTTCTCTGTCATCTTCTTCACATCCTAATTATTAAATAAAATATTATCTTTTCAGTGGCACTTTCCCCAAACATTCTGTTTAAAATATTACTAGTCCCTGATACTCTTTATTCACTAGCCACTTTTTCACACTTATTTTTTCAAAGTACTTAGCATTTCCCAGCTATCATGTGATTATTATTTTAATATTTTTGTTTTTTCCTCATTATATTGCTAGATTCATGACAGCCAGGATTCTTAGTGATTTTATTGAAGTTTTACATATGTATATGCACACATATATATAATTATGATGTCAAAAGTACTCAATTCATATGATTTCATAGAAAATATACTTCACATGCAACCTAGACAAGGGATTTTACATGTTTTGTAAATATGAAAAAGCAAACAAAAATGACAATACTAATATTGCAGAGTTATATAGTTCTAAAGAAAAAAATGAATAAATGCTATTTGTTAGCTACACTAAAAATGATTTTAATAGTCAGGTAGCATCACTCTAAAAACATTTATCACCTAAAATCAGTACTCTAGATCTCAAGTCTCTATAGAGACTTTTTGTTATCTTCCTAGATCTTCTGCCCAGTAACCTCATTCAACCCAACTTTACAGAAATAAGAATATAGAAAATGAGGTAAATTAAGCCCTTTTTTAAAAGTTTAGAAATAGGTTGTCTAATCAATGATATAACTAAATACATTGATATTTGTGTAAAGTGTATAAAATAATTTACTTCACAAAAATAATTTACTGTACTAGTATACTGAAAATATTAAATGTGTAATTATAATAACTATTATATAATTATGTTTATGATAATTGCATCTTAAGAACTATTGATGATTTCTAGTATGTTACAGTTGAACAATCAATAACAATTAAAATATACCTATTTCTTAAGATATATATTTCTATTTCTTACTCTATTAGAAAATTGAACATAAAACATAACTTTGACTACTGCTA